CAAGAGTTTCCAACTCATTCAGAGTTATCAACTCGTCCAGAGTTTCAAACTTGCCACGCAAGTTCTCCACAACGTCAAATCGTGAGGAGAAGATCATGTTCCAGTGAAACAAGACGTCGGATCGTCAACGAGAAGCAAACTCAACGCGAGCATTCGAGGGAGGCATCTCATCGCTACCGTGAAGAACCCAGAATTAAACAAAGGGGAGAATCCAGATCATTCTCCTCTCTTTTGTAATCAGGAAATCCAATTGTAACTGAGATTAAAGGAATACAAATTAATTTTTCTTTATTTCTTTTACTGCAAATTTTCCCACAAACAGACATCTTCTGAAAGTATATAATCATATCCTTTCTCTATACTGGTCAAACTTGAGTACTAGTAGCAAATGGTTAACTTTTTTGCCAATTGCTAATGATGGTAACGTGCACTTAAATTCTTCTGCCAAAATATTAAAAATTGTTTATCTTGCTCCACAACTAAAACAAAATCTTATCTTTGTTTATAAGTTATGTGAGGATAATAATTACAATATTAATTTTGGTTCATCTATTATGCCTGTTAAGGACAAGACAACGGGGAAAGTTTTTCTATGGGTACTAGTAGGAATCATGTCTACCCACTTCACCCAAGTGTCCAATCTCTAACTTCTTTAGCTTTAGTTACCTTACGAGACTCTGCAGACATTCAGCATCGTCGTTCAGTTTACTATCTTAGTAGAATTCTTGATAAGCTTAAGTCCAATAAGACTATTACTTTGGTCAATAAATTAGAAAATAATTGCAATTCTTGTAAACTTGGTAAGTCTCATCAGTTAGCCTTTAGTACAGTTGAGCAACGTTATGATACTCCTCTTTATTTGATTCATTCTGATGTGTGGCAATCACTTGTACCGTCTAATCTTGGTTATCGACATTATTTCTACTTGGTTGATGATTGTACTCGCTTTAATTGGCTCTATCCTATGAAGTACAAATATGTTTTTTTTAGCATTTTCATAATTTTCAATTTTTAATTGGAAACCTTGTTGATCATAAAATCAAAATGTTTCAAAGTGATGGGGAAAAGAATTTAACAACACCTCCTTAAAGCAATAATTTTTAGATTGGGGTATATATCTGCACAAATCCTACCCACATACACCCCAAAAAAATGGCACGACTAAGATAAAATATTGACACATTGTTGAGATGGATAATACATTTCTAATTGCTGCAGGTCTACCCTCGCAATGCTAGGTTGATATCATCTACAATGCTGTTTTGTCATTAACCATTTATCCACACCTATTTTAAATGGCATTTCCCTTGTCAAAAAAATCTTTAATGAATTACTAGATTATAACTTTCTTTGTGTGTTTGCGTGTGAATGTTTTCCAAATTTGACTACTCAAAGCGAACATAAATTACAACCAATATCTGCCTGGTGTATACTCCTAGGTTATCCCCTACACTTTAAAGGTTATTATTGTCTTGATCCTTCCATTAGTTGGGTGTGCGTTAGTAGACACATCCAGTTTTGTGAAATGATCTTTTCTTATGCTGAGTTAGCCACTAACAAGTTATTGGATATACCCCTTTTCTTGTTTGTCACGACCTCCTTGTTGGACTCTTCTATAACTAGGCACCACACAATCAAGCACTCAACTTCTGCTCTCCTAAATGAATCTGCATCTACAACCAACTCGAACCATTCACTACCATCAACCTCCTATTACAATAATGCTCCACTACAACCTAACCCACATCTAGACAAACACCCAATTATTTCATTATCGACCACTTCATCATCTGGCAATTCCCCATAACATAACCCCCTCATCTTGTCCTTGTCCACAAGTTCTCCACCTACACCTACGCCACTAGTGGTTTCTTCACCTACTTCTCATCCATCAATCTCCACTATGGCTATTATTCCTTTTTCAGGGTCATCCTCCACTTGTACGATGACTCAGCCATGTACGACTGCTTCTCCTTCTCTTAATCACCATTATATTCAGACATGACCAAAATCCAGCATTGTTAAACCACAATACATGCTATCATTGTCCACTCTTTCAGCTGACATTGAACGCATGAAATTTACAACTACATCAAAACAATCGAAATGACAAAATGCAATGGGAAAGGAATTTAATGACTAATTAACAATAACACTTGGCAATTTGTACCATTTGATGAATGTAAAACTTCGGTCAATTATAAGTGGATATATAAGATAAAATACAACTCTAATGGGTTTGTTGAGCAGTATAAAGCTAGATTAATTGCCCAAGGTCTTCCTTAGCAAGCTGGTATTGACTTTAATGACACTTTCAGTCTTATTGCAAACCAACCCCCATCCGCATTGTTCCCTCCTTAGCCATTTCGTATGGTTGGGTTGTACGATAGCTTGATGTTAAAAACACTTTTCTTTATGATATTCTTACTGAAGAGTTGTACGTGAAACAACATCCTGATTTTGTTCATCCTTAGTTTCCTGACCATGTTTGCAAACTTAATATAGCTATATATGGTCTAAAACAAGCTCCTAAAGCATAGTTTCATCAGTTTGGTAGTTTTCTTCTCTCTTGGCTTCCACTGCAGCCAAACTAATTATTCTATGTTCATACATCGGTTGGGTTCTTAAATTCTCATAACCCTATTATATGCTGACGATATTATCCTTACTGGTAACTTCTCATTCTCATTATATTGCCTTATTCATTGAAAACTGTTGCTGTAGATATTTATGGGAATTAGTTTGGTTATAATAGCTGTTACAATAAAAACCAAACTAATTTCCAAATTTACAATAAAAATGTCTTTTGTTGAATAGTAATATACTGGTAACTCCTATTATATGCAGCCAAACTAATTATTCTATGTTCATACATTTGTTGGGTTCTTAAATTCTCATAATGAGGGGTCAATATTTGTACTATGAGGAACTATTATTATATTTCATGTATTTATATATCTAGAATATGTATATTTCATGTGTGTGTGTGTGTAATATGTAAATTTCATGTATCTATATATCTAGAATACATGGGCTTATCTAAGGGGATCGACCTAGTTTTCCTCTAAACATCCTCAAGAAGGAAGCATGAGGAGAAGAGGAAGAAGATAAATGAGATTTCAAGGATGAAAGAAAAATATGAGTTGTGAAGAGACATATCACATGAAAGTGTCATCCATCCAAATGAAAGTTACAGCAACTAAAATATATTTTTGGTTTTCAAAAATATTACAACAATTATAATTATTTTTTATTATTTAAAATATATTTTTGGGTTTTCCAAAAATTTACACAAATAATACTTTAAAATTATGGAAAATTATTATTTTCAGTTTTTCCAAATTTTTACCCAAATAATACGTTAAAATTATAATGTATTTTAAAATAATTTTTGTTTTTTAATTTTTTAATTTTTAAAATATATTTTCTATTTTTTAAATTTTTACCCAGATTATACTTTGAAATTATAATTTTTCCAAAATATTACAGTAATTAAAATTTCTAAAAATATATTTTGAAATTAATTTTTTTCATTTTTATATTATTGTAAATATTTATTTTACTAATTTCTAAGTTTAATTTGGATTTTACTACATTTTTAGATTGTTGTAATCAAAATAATCTTAAAATTTCATAGTTTTGGATGAAAATAATTTAGTTTCTGAAATTGAAATTTTAATCATGATTGTTTATTTTTTAATTTTATATAATTATTATAATTTAATTTATATTTTAATTATATATTTTTGATCCAAATTTTTTATTTTACATAAATGGATAAAGAACCAGCTCTTTCAACTTTGAAGAAGAGTATTAAGACGGAGAAAAAATAATTAAAAATTATTAGAGTTTTTTTAATATTTTGCTTATTACATCCTATGACTGGTTCATTGATTGAGAACTTTTTTGGTGATGCATCCTTTGCGAATAACAGTTTTTTAACATTAAATTGTCTTATATCTTAATTTTATTCAAGTTGCATTTAGGGTGTTTTGATTATTTTCGTTTTATTCAGTTACTATGAAAAAATTAGTTCAAATGATCTTAATTCTAATTACAGCTTTATATAAGTTGTTTAATATCATTATTTCCAGGCGGGTACATGTTATGCTTCGAATGTGGTTGACTCGTTAGATCTTTAAAATTATATTCGGATAAGATTAATTGAAACATGACGAGATATAGATGAATTACGATAAGACTATGCTTAGCATGAGCTAAAACACCAGTTTCAAGAATGAAAGAAAAATATGAGTTGTGAAGAGACGTTTCACATGAAAGTGTCATCCAGCCAAATGAAAGTTTGTGATTAACACTTTAGAAGAAGGTTTTTTTCTTGATTTATTTATAAAATCTTAAAGTTAATGGGTTTTTATATAAATAACCCCCAAAATTAGGTGGGTTACCAGATATTTAGAAAGTTATTGGTGTTATCTGGTAATCGTCCAAAGTTAAGCGTGGTTTTGTGATATTTAGGGGGTGTTTGGTTCAATTTTTACAAATTATAAAAAATGTTTTACACCCAAAATATGATTTCCTTGTATTTCTTAAAAAAATTATAGGAAAAGTTATGAGAAGTCAAAAAGTACTAATTTTCTTGTTTTTTTACTTTGCTTGTTTGGCTCAAAATAAGAAAAAAGCCCATAACTTTATAGAAAATAGCAAGATTTTCTATAATTTGTAGAAATTGAATCAAACACCTCTTAAATTTATAGAAAAATGTCAAGTTTATAGAAAATCGTCAATGTGATGTCAGATTACTGGGTGATTTCCGCCCATTTTGAGAGAAAGTTAATTTCTATAAATTTTGGTATTTTTTTATACTTTACAGAAAATATTTCTGTAAATTTTTTTGAACCGAACACAGTTTACAAAAATCTACAAAAAACTTTTAATTATAAAATTATCATTATCATACGAGTTTTAAAAAAACTTTTTTATAAAATTGTGCATCCAAACACCCCGTTAGCCTACATTTTTTTGGTGGGGGTGTTGGGGGAGGGGCGGAAGATTCATCCTACCAGCCTTGAAGTAACCCACCACCTGAAGAAAAAGACGATTCTTTCTTACATTCAACTTTGATATTTGGGAACTTATTATTAAAAGCCCCCATGCATTTTCCAACAATAATTCAAATTCCAAAACTGCAACGATTCAACAAAAGGAGAGGAAACGGCAAGGATCCTCCTCCCATCACCGCCTGCCGCTTATTATTACATGAAGAGGTGGCTCTCAAAGCTCCTTCATAAAACCCTCAGAAGATCGAAATCAACCCACACTCAGCCCGATCCCGAGGTGACCCACTTCTCAATTTCTCTTATTTCGGTCGCCCATTACGAATTGTCTAATATTTTTCTGATTTTATTGTCTTTTAATAGAAAATTAGGGATCCCATGGCTGACCCGCAAAGCAGCAGTATTGGTAACGATAAAGATGAGGTACAGTGGTTTTTGTTATGCGTTTGTTGATGGGTTCTTAGCTAATTTGCTTGTGGAGTTGATTTTACTTGATTAATGTATTTAATTTACGGTTTATTTTTCTTGTTTGATTGAGTCATTTGAGATACAACCCATTTACTGGTAAAATGTAGCATTAGGAAATTATTGATTGCATGCCGGTAAAGAGATTGCGGAGTGTTGTGATACAATGCGTTATATTCTAAATCAAAGTAATCCTGATAAGTTTTCATAAGTTTTCTATTCTTTTGTGCACAAGTTAGCTGTGTATTGATGCTGCAACGAGTTCCCGTGCATGTAGAAAATATCATTTCTTTTGCTCCTATTAGAGTCAAAATCCTCGAGTAAGCTAGTCCAGATGCAGCTTAACATGCCACTTCAAACATTTTTGGTCTTTAGCTAATCACCTAAATTTCTACCATGACATAGAGTCTATTTGGATTATAGTTGTCCATGGAGAATATTCAGTTTATGGAGGACTCCTGAGAAAGGTAAATTTGTTGATACCTTTGCGCAACATTTTCATAACAATCACCCCGATCTAAAATTTTATTAGATCTAAGTCTAGATCCACTAATATTTTCTTTTTTCTTCTGTCTTCTTTTATATGGTCATGGTTGGCTCTACTATTTTAGTATTTTCTTTTCTAGCCCTTCTAAGCGGCTTTAGTTACTCATTATTCATGCAATAACTATGTTCTGCTTCTTATGAAAAACCCTCATTAATTTATGCTCTATAAGTGAAATACAATCTTCATCTAGTTTTTAGAACATGTTGGCTAGACTTAGTTGTACATTTCAAGACTTCAGTATCCTTGTTATTTTTCCTTATTGTCCATTGAGTTAATACCAGAACTATGTATACTGTAAAGTCTGAATCCTTTCAAACATTTCTGACTATTATTCTTTCAGATGTCACCAGTGGTTGATTTGCATACTAACTCCACTATGAACATCATTGACAACCATGACTTCTCTAAAGGGCTAGATTCTTGGTATCCAAATTGCTGTAATGCTGCTAATGCATATGTAGCATCAGAAGAATCTGGTTTGCTTAGTGGAATTACTGCAAATTCTGGAGTGAACTATGCAGTTATGACATCACGAACTGAATGCTGGCAAGGTTTGGAACAGGACATCACAGGAAAAGTTACAGTTGGCACTTCATATAACGTCTCAGCCTATGTTAGAATTTGTGGGAGTCTTCAGGGACCGGCAGATGTCCTAGCAACTCTGAAATTAGAGTATCCTAATTCTGTTACTAACTATTTGTCTATAGGAAGGTAAACTTGGAAATATTCTGATTACTTTTGGATTGGGTTATTTATATTTTTGTCCCTCAAATTTTAAACATTCCATATAACTAGTCCCTCAAATATTTGAAATTGTTCATATGTCACTCAAATCTTAAGGGGTCTTGCAATTTGGTCCCTCAATGACCAAAATACTCCTCAAGTTTCACACAAAACCCCTCTATATTAAAAAATATTAGCTCAGGTATTTTCGCCCTGAGGGATTAAATTACACGACCCCTTAGGATTTGAGGGACGTAGTGTAATTTCAAAAATTCAGGGGACTAATATGGTGTTATTGAAGATTTGATGGACCGATATCTATCTAACCCTTTTGGATTTTGTTTGGTTTTTGAGTTTCACTTATAAGAACTTACTTTTGCAGAATCCCTGTCAATGGTAATCGTTGGGAGAAACTGGAAGGGTCCTTTTCTTTGACAAACATGCCCAGTCGAGTTGTTTTCTTTCTGGAGGGGCCTCCTCCAGGTGTGGACCTGCTCATTGACTCAGTGATTATCTCTTATTCCTGCCTTGAGCAGTTTGAGGTATGGACTTGTTGTTTTCTTCTCTTGCGTCTTACAATCTTAGTTCTCTTCCACAAAATTTCATTAGTATTCTATTTTCTTGGCGTGCATCTTCTGGTTTTCTATGATATTGGATACTACTTTCCTTGGATCCACTAGTAAAGTCTTAAAGAGTTGCAACATGCTTTGTTGAATAAGAATTCAATCCTTAATAGTATGTAAGGTGGGGTATATATTTTATTGCTGGAGTAGTAGTACGTCCACCTTCTCAAATAGTTCTCAAAATGAAGTAAGGGTGGTCTGCAAATTCTATGAAGTAGTCTATAAAATGCAGCACTCTGAGAATTCTCATAAAGCAGGTTGTCTTCTGTTGTAAAGCCAGCAACTCTACTGAGTGCATCAGATATGCTCTATGTTGCATAGGTACTCCTATTTGAAGCTGTACCCTTGTCATACCCATACCCAACATTGGAACTTGAGTGGACACTCCTTGGATATATGCATACACTTATTCAAAAATGTACTCAATTATACAACATGTTTTCATTTAAAGCACTTGTCATATACTTCTTGGATGTATATCCTACACTTCACATACACTTGTTGAGACTCGTTGGACATAGATCTGATTCATTTCAGCCAACATCCATTTCATAATTATTATTTTAAAGGGTCTTTTGGATAACAGGTTAAAAATCACTTTTCTAATATTAATTAATATATAGATCAATATAAGAAAATAAATAAACTATTTCACATCTAATGTTTTAAAAAGCTTCAGCCTAGACCGCCTAGGCCCAGGTGGTACCTAGGCAGCCTACCTATTGCCTAGCGCCTAGGCGGTACCCAGGCTGTCCACCTAGATTTTGGGAGCATCTAGGGGAACACATGCTGCTTTATGTGGACTGCATTCTTTAGACATTGATCGTGATTTCCTCCATTGCAGCCTTCACATTCTCCAACCTCCTCCAAACTATTCTAGCCTCCAACTATGAACATCTCAACCTTCGGTCTATAGCAAAACATCCTTCCTCACCACTTAAACGAAGAGAAATCTGCTTAGGTGTCAGTCTGGCACCTAAACTTTCTCTAATATTGGCATTTACTATCAATTATTGTAATTAAAAAATAAAAAAGGAAAGCCTCCTTGACCCCACCTAGGCTCTAGGCGCCAGGTCCAATGTCTAAGCCGCCTAGCGCTTTTTGTAACCTTGCTCGCATCATGTGAATGAAAAAAATATTGATCTGTTGTAAGTTATTATTATATATATGTATGTACATATGTATGTATGTATGTGTAGCTGTGTCTTTGTACCCTACCATTCACAGATTGCTTGTCTTGTACCCATACCCACACCCGTATCTGTAACCGTGTAACTTAGGATGTGATGATGAATCATTTAGTTGTTCTATTCAACTGTGCATTTAAGGCTTCACTATCATTGTTACTGTTTATTGAGTTACTAATAGAACTATATGTACTGTTCATCCTGAATCTTTTCAAATATTTCTGACTATGAATATTTTCTATAGAGGTCACCAGTGGTTGATTTGCATGCCAGTTCTGCTACCAACATCGTTGAGAACCACGACTTCTCTAAAGGGCTGCAGTCTTGGTATCCAAATTGTTGTCAGGCATATGTAGCTTCAGGAGAACACAGTTTTCTTAAAGGCGCTGCTGCATATTCCGGATCAAGCTATGCTGTTGTGACGAAACGAACTGAATGCTGGCAAGGTTTGGAACAGGAAATCACAGGAAAAGTTACAGTCGGCACTTCATATAAGGTCTCAGCCTATGTTGGAATTTGTGGGGGTCTTCAGGGACTGACAGAAGTCCAAGCAACGGTGAAATTAGAGTATCCCAATTCTGATACAAACTACTTGTCGGTAGGAAGGTAAACTTAGAAATATTCTGATCGTCTTTGGTTTTGTTTGGTTTTGGAGTTTTACTTACAAAGAATTTTGCTTTACAGAATCCCTGTCAAATGTAATTGTTGGGAGAGACTGGAAGGGTCTTTTTCTTTGGTAAACATGCCCAATCGAGTTGTATTCTACCTTGAGGGGCCTCCTTCAGGTGTGGATCTGCTCATTGATTCTGTGATTATATCTTGTTCAAGCCTCGAGCAGTTTAAGGTATGGATATGTTGTTTTCTTCTCCTGTGTCTTACTGGATTAATTCTCTTCCGCATTATTTCATTAGCATTCTTGTTTTCTTGGCATCTTCTGGTTTTCTCTTATATTGTATACTTCTTTCCTGGGATCCACTAAAAAAGTGTTAAAACAATGAAAACTTTCTTGTTAAATAAGATTAATAAGTATGGTAGGTTATTATAAAGTTATGGCTGAGCTGTAGGTCTATACTACCTTCTCAAAAACACAAAAAAAAGCACTCCAAGAATAGTATGGGAAGCTTGAATAGTCAATAAAGTAATTTACAAAATACAGCATGTACTATAAAGTCAGCAAATCCACTGAGTACATCAGATAAGCAGATGAATCATTCAGTTATTTTATTCCACTGTACATTTTAGGGCTTCATTATCCTTGTTATTCTGCCTTACTGTCCATTGAGCTAATAATAGAACTGTGTTCACTCTGAAACTTTTGCACCACAACAAAGTAATAAAGTATTTGACCATTTCAATCGCGCTGCTATCAGGGACGGATCTACCTTGAAGGAAGTGGTGTTACGTGACACCACTTTCCTCTGAGGTGCTCCATATGTACTAAGGACCCTGAATGATACATAGCAAATAATGACTGTTCTGCTCAGGGACGGGGAGGGTCCAACGAACAAGGGCAGGAGAGATTTGGAGAGGCTTGCGAAGAAGAGGAGAGGTGGATGTTTCTGAGGTTGGTTCTTTGGCAGGAAGAAAATGAAGGAAGAAAATGGCCCTGTTTTCTTAAACTAAGTGGATGGAGGTGATGAGCAGTTGGTTTTTCTTTTTGATCCTTTTGCTGAAAAGTTTGGACAACCTATCAGAATGTCATCCGGGTATAGTCTTCCAAAGGGTTTAGATTTTTGAGATTATTCTATTCTAATTGCGTTTAGATTGAGAACAAATAAATGAAAAGCTAGGATTTTAACTGAGATAATAAGCTATTAGGATCTTTAATAAACAAACATAGAAATAATGAAACACATTATGGGTTAGATCAGGTGAACTGTAATAAATTTGGACTCCATCGGCCCTACTACAACTTAAAATTCAACTAATCTTATTAATCATATCTTCACAAAATTTATACTCAAATCAAACTCTAAAATCATAAGAAATAAAATTTAGATATAAAATTTGAACTTTTAAGGACCCTTACTATTATTCATGTCAGATAAAGGCGTTGAAATTGTCATGCATTCCTATGGTTTAAATTATTAAAATGCAACCCACTTCTCAAGCAAATAGAAATAAAATATAAGCTGAACTTGTGGAAGATGTATTTCATAGTGTTACTAATATATGATTATGTACTTTTTTTTTGAAGTATGAAAACTTGTTGGGGATAGTTGTGAACTTTTTAATTATTAATTATGTAGTGACACCACTTAACAAAAATCCTGGATCCGCCACTGACTGCTATATAATTGGTATATAAGTTGAGCTCGTCACCTCTGAAGAAAAAAGTAACGAAAAGAACATTGCCATTTGTTTTCTTAAAGAACGCATCACGAATTTCAGTGTTCCCTTGAAGAATCTATATTTTAATTGTTTTGCCCTTGATAAATCTATAAGCACATTTCCAAAGATATTTAGATTCAGATTACGACAATTTCTGCCTTATCTGTTCATTAAATTATTGCTCTCTTGTTTTACTTTTGGGGAGTTACTAAAGTCAGAAATATGTTGTCATTTGGAAGGAAAGCAAAAGATTTATTGATGGCGATGTGAACATCATATTAAACCCTTGCTTCGAGGATGGTGTAAATAATTGGTCGGCCAGAGGTTGCAAGATTTTTGTACATAACTCATTGGGAGATGGGAAAATAACTCCATTATACGGAAGGTTTTTTGCTTCTGCTACTGACCGCAAACAGAGCTGGAACGGTATCCAGCAGGATATCTGTGGTAAGGTGAAGAGGAAGCTTGCATATGAAGTCACTGCAGTGGTTAGAATATTTGGGAATGCTAGTGCAAATGTTTGCGCTACTTTGTGGGTGCAATCTCAAAATGGCCGTGAACAATACATAGGCATTGCCAGGTGCGCTTTTATTTAAATCTTCAATGTGTATCAGCTCTTCATTTACAAAAGGTTTAATTGTGGATAGAACCCCTGTACTATTGCCCATTTGTGGATAGACCCCCTGTAATTTTATTGTTGGAGGTAGACCCCCTGAGTAAACTTTTCTGACTCTTTGACCCCCAGAGGAAGAGTTTTATTTGTACAAATAGACCTGAGAGTAAAATAGTAAAAAACATTTCACTCAGAGTTATACCTGCAATTGGAAGATACTACAACGGGTCTATCCACACCAATAGAACTAGAGGGGCTCTGTCCGCAATTGGGCGATAGTACAAGGGGTCTATCTGCAATTAACCCTTTAGACACAGTCTCCCTCAGCTTGTGGGTGTATCGGGCTGTGATTGTGTTTTTGTTTTTCTTTTGTTTTTCTTTTTTTTTTCTTTTTGCAATCAACCTAAGTTACTAGATAATAGGACTAAAGTTTATTAAATGTGGCCTTTTTTTGTTATCACCATAATTATTAAATGTTTCTAGATATTTTGCTACAAAACAGTTTGCGGGCATCAGATAAGGAGTGGGTGACATTGCAAGGGAAGTTTCTATTGAATGGTATTGCCTCAAAAGCTGTGATCTATCTAGAAGGACCGCCGATGGGTACTGATATCCTGGTTAATAGTTTAGTAGTAAAACGTGCCAAGAAACTTCTTCGGTCATCTTCACCTGATATCGAGGTTAGTTGATCATATAGAGAACTCAAAGGGAATTAACTATTGGATGGTAATTTATGTTCGTTTTACAATACAGCTTGATAAATTTCACAACTATGCATGTGCTCTTTAATTTTTATATTCTATGGCTATTATGTCTAATTAGATTTGTAGGTAATGGAAAACCTTACGCTCAAAAGAGCAAAAGATCACGAAGCTTATGTTTAAACTTTGTGATATTGAAAGTTGGTTGAAAAACAATTCAAAGTTTGTGCATCTGAATTCACTAAACCTTGAAGCAACGGTTTGACTTTCACAAGTGGTTGCTTTGATGCAACATTTTCTTTTTAGACCTATTCTGTGTAGTAAGAAATCCATCAACTATAATATTGTTAAAATTGTTGGCTCCATGCAATCACATGTACAAAGCTAAATGAAATAGCACACACTACTCTTCCTTTATGTGGTAGCTGTGTTGCTGCAAAATTTAACACATATGCTGATGAAAAAAAGTTCGTTAATAAGATGCATCCGGTATCTGTATATTTTCTACCAATATCATCTCATGGTGATGTGGAGTTTAAATGTATCAAGTTATCATTACTTGTAGAATATCAAAAGGTCTAAAGTTGTTATTACACTGCCTCAGTTCACATGAAACTGTTCTTTAACTGTGGAGAATGATTTTATGTATCAAGTACCAAGAAGTACCAACTCTAAAGTTTATTTATGGACTATGAGCTTATTTGATGTTATGTTATTTGCTAACCTTATCTTTACTCCACTAGGGACTGAAAGGTGAGATGGTCCATTCGCGTGGTATTCACGATATCAATATCATATCAAATCATGATTTTTCAAGTGGACTTCTGTCTTGGTCCCTCAATTCTTGTGATGGATACGTCGTCTCAGGGGAATCTAGTCTTTACAAAGGAGTTACTGCAGTCACTGGAATGAACTATGCTATTATCACAAATCGTACAGAAGCCTGGCAAGGCTTGGAACAGGATATTACAAGCAAAATTTCAGTTGGTCCCACATACAGTGTCTCTGCATATGTTAGAACTTGTGGAGGTCAAAATGAACCTGCTCCTGTCATAGCAACCCTCAAACTGGAGTATTTGGATTCTCCCCCAAGCTTTGTTTTTGTTGGAAGGTTGTCGATCTTGATTTCTAATAAGAACTATTTTTTCTTTATTCTGGCTCAGTTTTCCTGTATATTTCCTCCCTCATCAGGACTTTAGTGTCAAAAGAGCAGTGGGAGAAGTTGGAAGGCTCTTTTTTCCTAGAGAGCATGCCAACTCGTGTAGTTTTCTTTATTGAAGGGCCTCCTCCTGGTAAAGATTTGCTTATAGATTCTGTCAAAGTTTTTCACTCGGGTTTGAGGCATTCACCGGTAAACTATTTCTTGACCTTTTTAGTTTCAAATGCTTTTTAGAGTGCCATCTGTTCTATTATCTTTATCAAGTGCTAGAACTATCTGTCCAATTGGGTCAATGTTCTTATTCTAATTTCTGTTTTTTTTTTCAGAAGAGAATAATGTATTTAATCTTCATTTTATCTATATAAATATTTGATAGAACAAAATTTTTATGAGAAGTTAACTTTCATCAAGTCTTGCATGTAACTCAAACTTTTGCTGGAAAAGCAAAAACTTATCATGTTATAGTTTGATCCACTTACCCGAACTTGAAAGTTTGTATTAAGTCTCTGGAAAGAAAAATATTCACGTGAATGAATGCAAAAGCCACATTCATCAGGTTGGAAGTCTTACAGTTTTCGTTTAAAAGTTAGCATAAAGTATGTAGGTCACATCTTCTTCAATTCTGGGGGTCCTATGAATATATTTTGTAGAAAATTTCCTGTTTGACATTTTTTTTTTTTTCCTTGTTCCTATAAAAGTTATTTCTATCCTTTTGTTTGCCATATTTTAATCTCATTATTCTTATATTGAAATCTAAACATACCAAAATGTAAATATCACATGTTTAGAATAACTAACCGATTGTAACCAATTGTAGAAACATGCTTCTCGATTGCGTCATGAAACAGTCTGAGTGCATAACCTTCAAAAGGGGATAATAATGTTAGTAACAATAGAATAACATTCAAGCAAATAACAAGATAGCATAAAGAATGAATAATCATCAGCATAATTATTGTGTGATCACAAGATTCACTAATTAACTTGAGATTTAATAATCATGACTCGTGTCAATATCCATAAACAAACATAATCAAATCAATAAATAACCAACTTCTAAAAGCTACAAATAGTTCATAATTAAACACCAAAGAGCAAATCCAGAATAAACTAGAAGCAAAGATGACTAAATCAATCTTCATCTAAAGTTAAAAGTTAGAATATCCTCCGTTCCCTCCTCCGTATCATACTCCGAAGATGACAATGTTTCCATGTCTTTCTCCTAATCGTCTTCCAATGACTCATTTCGCTTTGATAAAGATTGAAGATTCTCGAACTTTTTCTTTCTTCTATATGGTTCGTGCACACTCTTCTTTGGATTAGCTCTCATAAGATCTCCACATTACCTCCAAGTCAAAGTTTCACTTGTAAACTCTTTGTCATCACTCTCATCGTCACGACCTCTCCTCTTTGTTGTCATCACCCACTTGGAGGACCTTTCTTCGTCATTGTAGGCAACCAAAAGATCTCTGTCTTTATTGGAATGTTAATTCAACTTTGAACTAGTCCCGATTAGGACACATAAGATAAACAACCCGAATTCAAAATCCAATCATCCATGCTCCTATTTTTATCATCTATAGCCAACAAAATCACATCTTTAGCAATATTAACTTCAACAAAGTCCTTCAATTTTTCATCATACTCTTCCTTTTTATTCTTGTATTTTAATATGTAACAATCGGTCTTTATGTGCTCTTTCTTCTTGCAATATCTACAAGCTAGATTCCGATGCTTTGACTTATGCCTATTACCTCTAAAGCTCCTTTCTTTCAATCTTCCTCGAACAAAAAACCATCAACTTTAACGCCGCTTTCGCTTGTAGTTAACTCTTTGTCTATCTTCTCTTTATTCAACAAGTTCTCTTTGACGTCCTTGATACCAATAGAATATTGAACTTGACAAAGACTAAGTCAATGTAGTTTCTTGTGAGTTAGTCCATTTCTCTTCTTCATCTGAATCTACAAATTATAACCATAAAGAACAAATTAGTGTCAAATGTGCTTCTATGATTAGAATTTAAAAAGAGACATTATCATCTCAGTTCTCAAATGTGCTCTAGTTCCTTTCACAAGCTGAAGAGCTAGTTATCACACTCAAAATCCTCATTGGTGTCACGCTCAATTCAAGAGCATCGGTCCTAAAAAGATTCCACTATATAACTAGTCAATTCATAGTTGAAAATAGTTAGTAGCTTGCAACTTTCAAGTAGAAATCACTTACTTAGCTTGAATGAAAAATGTAGAGATATACCCGGATTATTATCGGATCTTTGTATTATTGATAATCAGAAAGTTGAGATCCAAGCTTACCAAGAGTGTCACCATCAACTGGATAAAATTTGCTCAAACAATCAACAACGCTATTCACGAAGCTTTGTACGAGATGGATGGTAGAAATAAAGATTCAAATAGTATCTTATTTTATGGGGTCATCATGTAAACTTGACATCCGATCTCCTATCAATACTCTTCTATATAGGAAATATTTATTCTCTTCATGCTGAAGGACCACTCTAATCTCCTTCTTTGCCACCCACAAGTTTCCATATATAAATCATGTAGATGGGATTTTATCACCATTCACTCTCCATAGAACCTTCATCAAAGAAAAAATGCTCTAAAGGCAAGATCAGCTTTGTCCCAAAACTAATTGTTGTGAATGATCTCGACAACCGATAAACAAACAACACAAATAAACAATATAATACTCAAGTGTAAGTGAATATTTTTAGTTAATAATTACTAAGTTCAGTTTTAAAATTATACCGTTTATTCCCACTTCTTTTGCTGAAAGATCACATTCTATTGATGTTTTAAAAAGTGGGCTCCTAGCCTGCCTAGGCATCTGTCTAGGCGTAGGCAGTATCTAGACCGCTTGCCTAGATCTTGGAAGTGTCTATAAGAGGCAGGCTACTTATGCAGATTGCACACTGTCGTGGTTGTGATTTGCTTATGCGGATTACACCCTTTAGATCGTGGTCATGATTTCCTCCGTTGCAACCTCCACTTCTCCAAACTCCTTTGATCTTCTCCACCAACTATGAACATCTTTACCTCCAGAAAATCTCCTTCATCACTACTTAAACGAAGAAAGAAAACCTCCCAAGCTCCTACCTAGGCGTCTAGATTCTAGGCGTCGGGTGCTGTGTCTAGGCTGCCTAGCGCTTTCTGTCCCTATCGTTAGAGACAAACATTTCTTCAACTCTTTCTTCGTATCTTTAAATGATACCAAAGAGAAGAATGTGGTAGCAAATTGTGTCGTCTTGGGTCTTACAATGTCCTTTTTTGCAAAATCTCTTAGCAAATGAAGAGACATAGTGTAGCTATATATCTACCCCAACACAGTTCTTTTGATAGCAATTTTACATAGCTTCGTGTTATTTGAATTGAAGCTCCATCAGTGATAATCTACATAATATTTTCTGACTTTAGCTCTTCAGTTGCAATTGCCACAAATCTCCACTAGCGAACATCAGATTAATGGTGTGCACCACGCAAGTTTTATCTTCAATATACTATAGTTTTCTCATTCATTTTGTATCCGCATGTACATCGACATATATAATTGTATTCAAGGTTAGCGGTGTTTGATATGAATTTTCTTTATAGAGGCATAACTGTATCCTTTGTCCACCAACTATTTTATCCATTGATTTTGCATTCCATGTGATACAAATGAAGACACAAATCTCAAATATAGCATTGATGTGTAGCACAAATCTCAAAGCATAATGAATGGATAAAAAATTTTGTGGATGAGTGCCTCCTATCCACTTAAGTTTATGTGAGCTTTACTATATATATATATATATATAACCGTATTCAAGGTTGACGGTGTTGGATATGTATTTTTCTTATCGATGGCATATCTGTAATCGTGATTGGTGAAGCCGGGAATACTGATAGGCTAGTTCATACTTCCGAGCCGTATCTAAACTGCTAACACACCTTAGTTAGGACGAGGATGAGAGGCGTCCAAAAAAAGAGTGTGAGCGGCGAGGAGCAAATGAGTAGCGGTAATGTTGACGGGCGGGGGGTGGGGCGGGCAGAGGGGCAGTTTTTAGAGCCGAAGGGGGAATCAAAAGAGGTGAAAGATCTTTTTTTGTTGCGTTAGGACTGAAGTGAATTGGTAAAAAGATGAATTGTATAGGGTTTTAGAGATTATGTTAATGGGTTACCGGTTCTTGATTTATTGGTTTTTTGCTCATTGCCTCAAAAACCAAACTTGAACAAAAATTAACTTAGTTCGATAGCCAAATTTTCTGAGTGCCAAAATCGACTGATAATGTGTTTTCTCACCACGTTATAGGTGAGAAACCTCTCAAAATGACAACCAAATATAAATTGCAATATCCTAAGCTGCTGGGTTCAAAACTGATATATTGTTGAAAAACCGGCATTATTGGCCAATAATAGAACATGAATTTAGGCAATTGTCTGGGTATAACAGACATGGTAACCCTTAGCTTTTTTAATATGGGATGCATCTCTAATTCTTTTTGAGTTTTTTAGATATTAATCCCTCAAAATAATTCCATATTTGTCCCTCAAATCTTGAAAATTGCATATCAGTCCCTCAAATTCTCTATTGGGTCTTCCGAATTGTCTCTCTAGTTAACTCCCGTCAGATTTGAGGGGAATATTCCCTCAAATCTAACTATTAGAGTCGAAATTACCATTTCACCCCTTTGTTAAGTTCATTTCATAACATGTTTAAACCCAAAACCCGCTTTAAAAAAAATCCAAAGCCCTTTGAAATCTTCCCAAATAGTCATAAAAAGAGCCCTACATTGAACTTTCCAACAATCATGATCCTTTAAAATCTACATATTTCTCTCGAATTTCTCCTCTAACATATCTTCATCTTCTCCTCCAATGTTTGAAAATCGAAGGGAATGGTTTTTTCATCTTTCCTTATGATGAGGACTAATTTGGTAATTGCGGATGTTGAGTTAGGAGTTAACCCAACCATGATTGGGTTTTTTAACTGAAAAGCTAAAAGAAGATTCTGCAAGACCCGATAAGTATTGAGGGACTAATATGCAATCTCCAAGATTTGAGGGACTAATAGTTATTGAAGATTTAAATGACTAATATTGAATTATTGAACATTTAAGTGATTAATATGGAATTATTGAAGATTTAAGGGCCTAATATCTAAAAATCCTTCTTTTTCTCCACTCTTGCCAT